ACCTCAGTACAATGGAAGATGGTCGCGCAATTAATTAGGACATCAATAAGGATAGTTGATTGAAGTAAGCAAAATACAAAGTTGTAAAACATAAGAATTTGTAGATATCATTATGCACATGACTAAGATATGTTAAAGATTAGAATCAACATTCATGAATCATGAAAGATGATATGGCAAGACAGGGCTTACAATTAAGGCTGTGTAAGAATATCATAAAGTAAATATTTAGAAACAGTCATTAAAAGTATATCAGTGAATTCATCAAAGAGAATAGATATTGAATTTCTCATAGGAATCTCTTAAAGTTTATGTACAATAGATAGTGTATGACTAGCAGTGGAATCCGAGATGTGCGTTTTGTCCTATTTAGGACCCATCAGCTGAATGTATCTGCATTCCGGATTCGGTGTTTCGGTCTTCACTTTCTGATCCGAACTCAGTAAATATCTCTCCAAACTCTCAACGCGTTATCCATTTGGCTACTGAGTCTAAACAGTCATTCACTTATGCTAGCGAGTCCTTTACCCAGGATTCCACTGCTAGCCACAATCCACCTCAAAATTTTTGACAAATCGATTATACTGAGTCATTTCTCATAGGATGCACATTCACCAACTAAGGCTGATCAAAATTCAGTCGCCCCCGAATGCCCTGTTACGACTGAGGGTAGGGAGAGTCAGCTATACCTCTGGAAATCCTCTCACATGGTCACGCGTACACAGCCATTGACAGGGAAGTTCTACTCAGCGTCTTCTCGCACCGCGAGTGTTGTTTACGAAATTAACAGGACGAAAAGCGAATACCTGATGCTTTAACCGGGTTGGTGGATATGGAGGATCCACCTAGGGAAGTTGGGAAACCCTCATTCCAAACCAATGGTTCACATGGGCTACAGTATCCTGAAGGAATAAATGGCGTATGATTACCGACTACCATGGAACTTCATCTCATAACGTTACTCCATTGCTTTGTGGATTAGACCTTCAGGTCAAAGGCTCGTGGTGTTGGCCCCTCAGTAAAACCATCTGCTTCGGCCTGGGCACTCGGATAGTATCACAGCCCACACATTGGTCAAGTGACTTTCGTGGTGCATATGTATTCGGTTCCCCTTTGTACCAATATTTATTTGTCCAATTAAATAATAATAATAATAATAATAATAATAATAATAATAATAATAATAATAATAAATTAAAACGAGATATTTCAAAAAGCTCAACAAATTAAATTTATCACCATAGCGTTGTAGAGGAGTCCCATACTAGGAGTTAATGGCCGTCCAAGTTTTCAACGATAGTCTAACATTGATCAGTTCGTGATCTCAACAAAAATTAAATTTAGTTACTTATTACTATTATTTACATTGTTCAAATTAACTAACTCACTAAACACTAGTGTTTGTGTTCAATTCTACATATTGCCTTAATTATTTATTTCACCAATCTTTCCTTTCATACAAACAACACTATAACGTACACAAAAAAGGCTTAATAAACAAATCAGTTCTCTACCCATATGTCTATCTATACTTTCATATTTCTTATTTGTTTAACATAAAAAATTGTCACGTTCGATTGTAATTACAGTTGGCTTATTTTTTAAATGGGTATATTTTTTATTCAAGTTTTCTTGTATTTGCTACTAAAGAACATAAATAATATTTGAAGAGTTAATCAATTCATTCAACAACAACAACAACAAAATTATTATTACTCACTCAAGAAATAATGAATTAGTCAATTACCGAATACATTTTATGTCTTAAAGACATTGGTTAATTTCAATGGTTGAGATCATGAGTCAATTGAAACTAGACTATCATGGAAAACCTGAAAGAACTGGTGGATAGCCCTTTCGTTCTACTGTGGGACTCCTCCTTGGCAGTGAGCATCTACGATCTCGCCTTGCGTGATTCGAACCCAGGACCTATCAGTTTCGCACGCGACCGCTTAACCACTAGACCACTGAACCGGTCGACATCCAACGGTGTTAATGTCTAATTTCAACCAATCCACGAAATTGAGCGACACATCCACTATTGTTTTCAATGAGTTACTATCTCACAACAGACCCGGTTGAACTCCACTAGTCACTGCTTCTCACTAGAACTCCAGGAAATAACTCTTGGAGACCGTCACTAGTGAGCATATGTTGATTAATACGAGAAGGGTGGTTTTGTGGATATTATAGTAGTTTTGGGGGTTGAGATCATGTTTAACGGTTTGATTATTCGTGTCTAAAACGATTCTTTGTATTTTTAATCAAATGTTTAGATTTCCTTTGATATTCCTATTGTTTCCTAAACTATCTCTCTCGTTATATTGATGTGATGTGCAGATAACTTATTTTATTTCTATTTAGTTTAAACACATAAATATTAGTACAAGGAGGCACCAAATAGATAAATCATTCGATTTGTGTGAGGGCTGTGATACTGCCCGGGTGCCCAAACCGAAGCAGATGGTTTTCTTTGGAGGCTACACCATGAACCTTTGACCTAGAGGTCTAATCCGCAAGTTGATGGAGCAACGTTAGGAGATACAGTTCCATGGTAGCCGGTGACCAATAATTGGTTCATATGCCATTTGTTCCTTCAGGATCTTGGAGCGCATATAGACTATTGGTTTGGAATGAGGTTCTCCAACTCCCATAGACGGATGCTCCATATCCGCCGACCGGGTTAAAGGACCGGACATTGGCTTTCTGTTCTGTCAATTTCGTAAACAACAGTAATGCCACGAGAAGGCAGTAAATAGGATTTCCCTGTCAGTGGTTGTATGCGCGTGGATATGTGAGAGGATTTCGAGAGGTAGAGCTGACTTTCCCCACTCTCTACCGTACCAGGGCATTTGGGGATAGATAACTTGGACCTATGGAAATTTGTTCAATGTCTTATGTTGACTATAACTGTATAAAACTCAGCAGAGGACACTAAAGAATAAACTAACTACCATAGATTTTTAAATTTTCAAGTTTATATGGTTTCTCAGTGGAAATAAACAAATTTTCTTGTCTAGTTATTTTGGGTCCATGAGATTGAACTGTAATACAGGACAGCAGTTGTATTGATCTGTTCTGAGTACTGATTAGCTCGTCTAGTTTGTCTATCTAAGACCAATGGCACTATAAGTGTGAAATAACAGCCGAGAATAACATTAAACGACCATTAGTCCAGAATTCAGTTTCCCACTCTCACTCGCCTGATAGCCAGAATAGAGAATAATTCAACAACCAAACGACCTCTAGGTATACAGTTCAAATTTATGAATTACTCATACCATAAAATGGAGTAAAATTCCAACCACAGATTAACATAATTAATAAATTACAATGTAGGTACAGTCACGCCGTAAGAGGAAGAGGACTAGGTGATGGGTGTTTACTAAATTAACAATAACAAAATCTTACTAATAGGGGAATGCAAAAAATGCAGAAGTTTATGTATTTAATAATTGTACAATAAAAATATAAACAATAACCTCAGACAGGATTGTCCTAAAACTTCATCTTTGCTTAATATTTATCTTAACATATCATCATAGTTAATTATTTCCCGTCGTGTATTTGAATAAAATCCCTTCGTCCTCAGAGGATAAGATCAATTGAGGCAATCTCTTATCTTATGCTCTCTTCAGTCATTATCCTATTCGGAAATTGATTTATTATCTTTCCCTATCCAAATGATAATCTAGTATTCGTCCGATTTTGATGAGAAACTCTCCATCGGTGTATATTGCTGATGTAGATATTGACTAAATTTTGTTTCACTTATCATAGATGTTTACTCGATGTTTCGTACCTGTAGGAGCGGTCAAAGAAAACCAACAATTGAATTGACAGTAAAAATGGTATTTCTAATTGTCTTACTAACAATACCTTATTTTTTTAGATATGCTTTTCGTTAATTGCCTTGCGTTTTGAACTGTTGTATCCGTTTCTGTTTTGTTGTAACCACTTCTCACCAGTAATCATGTGTTTCTGTTCACTCAAAGAGTTAGATTTTTATTTTATTGAAATTACAAACTAATCTAGGTTGTGCAACTATTGAAAACCTGAGATCGCTAGACGGCTGCTTCGTCATAGCATGAGACTCCTCAGCACTGCACCTCCAACTCCTGGAATTCGAACCTAGGGCCTCCGATCTCTCACTGCTGAGGAGTCACACACTAGGAAGAGATGACTATTTGATTTTTCCAAGTTTTCAAATAAGCTTTGAAGATTGATCGATTAATGTATTTGCCTGTAGCTAATTTTGTATGATATGGCTCATGGTTTCTTACTAATTGATCGTTCAGTAATCAAATATCGTTTTTATCTAGTCTAGTATGATGATCAAATTCTACCTCGATCAGTATTTGAAGCATTTTGGTGCTTTGGCTCAGAATCGATCACTGGGGTACTGATGAGTTCACTTCCTGATCTTGAATTCCAGTATTCCTCCACACAGTCTTTTCTACTCTGTCTTTCTGAACTATGTTCTCAATGTTCGATCTTTCTCATTATCATTGCTACTACATTATTTCAATCTTTTTATCTTCTTGTGTTGTTATTTCCTCATCGTGGTGATCATGTAAGGCAGCTCAGACCAATGTACATGTATGCCGGACTCTATGTTTATAATAACTGATTGAACAAATTAAAGTAATGACTCTTTAATCTAAGCGTGTTACTGTAAATTTCGTGTACTATGTTTTCATTGAAGTTTGTGTTTGTAAGCACTCGACAGATGACCTTGTTTCACCTAGATTTTGGGCTACTTGGTACTCATCAAGGTGTAGTTGCACTTTTGAAGGTGATGATGCGCCATGTGGGAATTGACCTTCCACTAATTAGTATTTCAGCCAGTAACCGCTGCTGACTAACCCTAGTCCGAATTTTACAGATATAATTCTTTTCTTTCAGGATCGTAGATATGTCCTGTTTACGAGTATCATGTCTTCAACTCAAAGCATATTTTTATTGTGAATACATCTTTGTTACTTGTTCTGTATATATAGGACGATTCAACATTATCTTCACCTGTTGAAGGCCTTAAAGTGATTCACGAGGATCTCCCATCTATCAATGAAACAAATCTTAATAATAATATCAATGATGATAAACGAAATGATGATGAATCCCATAGTCCTTCATCATCATCATCTACGCCAGCTGGGTCTCCTCCAGTTACTGATGTCACTACCCCTCCTCCCGCAGCAGCTTTGTTACTTCGTAAACGTTTAGGTGTCTCTGGTGAATCAATGAAATGTGCACAAGAATTAGTTTACCATGATAAAGATGCCAAGTAAGTTCATAAAAGCAATCTTGGATTGTATTAATTTCTTTTACTTGTTATAAATAATGTTACCTACACTAAAACATAGTATAAAACTTTGTTTCCGTCACTACGAATTATAATGAGGATAACTTTGATTCTTTGCTGGTAACCTGTATGTAGTAAGTAATTTCCTACGGACGTAATTCTAAACTAATCCCCAAACTGTCGAACACAGAGTCTTAATTTAGCCACATTTAGATCAAGTAAGCAGTTTGATGTGGTCTAAGTCGACACAGTGAGAAAGCGATGGAGAGGGATCAATTCCAGCTGTAGTTGAAATTTAGATTTGGGGATTACAGTTAAAAAACATTCGTGGAGTGCGGAATTATGAGTGACATTACGTCGCTGCAAATGGTATTGTTCCATGTTGATCGATGTCTCCAATTTCATCTAAAGCCATTCCAATAACTCAGTTGCATTTATCACTAGAGATGGAACATACAGACATGCTAATGTCATGAATTGTATGTTCAAAGTGAAAAATTAAACGTGGATAATTAAAACTGTCAAACATTCATAGTTTTCTACACTGTGGAGATGATTTTCCCCTTTACATTATTAACGTCAAGTGGGGAACGATTGACAATTATGGAAAGGAATTTTACAGTTGTTCCGTTGTAATTTCAGTTTGGCTAGTAGTTTGTGCATTAATAATATCATCAAGGATGAAACAGAATTTTCAGGTATCATAGCAAATAATTAACTTTCCGGTTGCCAAGTTGGAATCCAATCATGTAAATATCTAATTTCAGTCAACTTGTGGTAACAACGCGACCATCATTATTTATATTTGTCTGACGTGTCAGGCATTTTTGAACCCTACTAATCAAAGCTTCTAACTAGACTTCTAGCTTTTCATTAGTTGTATTAGTAAAGTCAGTCTTTGTTGTATATGAAATGAATCTAACATTCAACGGTATCAGGTATGATAAAGATATCCTCCGAAAGCAATGGAAGATAGTCGCGCAATATCGTGGACTAATTGAAGTTAGACTTGTATACCATTGGATTTTGGCTCACTGGTCTTGAGGCTAAGTGTTTGCTTGTGAGACCGAAGGTTCAGGATTCGATTTTCTGTGACATAGTCGTGAATTGGTTTTGTTGACGAAACAGTAATCTAGTGATTCCATATTTTCTCAGTAGTTGTCCAACTCAGATCAGTTCATGATTTCAATGAAAATCAACAATGTCCACTACCACCTCATATTTACAATAATTATTATTTTATCCCTTAATGTTTCATGTTGTTAACATATGACGAGTAAGAGAAGTTCATTGTCATCATTGTTCTTAGCTGTGAACTCTGGCTACTTATATCTCATCATTGAATTGTGTTATATTTGACACCATTTATTAAATGTCATAATAGAAGTCTATCTATAATAGTAGTAACAATAATTACGTTTGAAAATTTTAATTATTCACCTATATACAACTTAATTACGTAGTATATTAATATCTCTGTTTGTCGGTACTACGTAAATGTTCATATTTCATTTACGCATAATCCTTGTCGTGATGTACTGATTATCTTTCGCATTTGTTCAATACTTATGCATTTATATATACGTATTAGGTTTATACAAATATCAATTAATATAGGAATATTCACATACAAATATAGACCATTGATGTTAAATGACTGTAGTTAATGTCCTACTACTACCATTATTACTACTAATAGTAGTATTAGTAGTAAGTTAATGTGGGCAGGTATCATCATCATTATCAATATGTGGATATAAACATATGTTTGTCTGTTCATCTACTTATCGTCCATTTACCTGTCTGTATATATGTAATTCAACTGGGATAATTTTAATGGGAAAGCTGTATTCACCATGATGGCAATATGGGTATAATTATTAGACGACTATACTTTATACAAAGGGTAGTCAAATGTAATACATATGCATATATAGATATATTATCTTAATTCATGATTTTTTCTTAACATGTCAAGTACTTCATTAGTTAATAGATAGAATAGCAAATGTTTAATTGATCTTGTCCGTTTTGTTCTGTCTCATTTTTATTAAGAGATCTTTTTTCGTATTATTCAGAATGTAAAATTTCATTGATACACTTTCATGCATATAGGATAACATTGTGTATTTTCCTATTTTTTAAAACAATACTCATTGATTTTTCCCTTTCAATCTACTTGGGATTGGATCACATTGTGTATATATTTATGTGTGTTTGAGGGCTAGTTATACTATTTGACTACTTGAACTGAAGTAACCGAGGTCGGGGTTCGTCCTTATGACGTAATTAGTTCGAAGCTAGATGCTAAATCATCGTTCTACTACCATGAAGATGAAATCTATGATGTATCCGATTGAGAAATTGTTGACTGGATTAGTCTTAGTTAATCCACGATCCACAATCAGAAGTTGAATCAATACATTTGCTGTTTCACATGCGAATGCTTAAACTCTAAAGCGGTAAGCCTAAGATCCGATAGTGTACAAGTCTAGCTACTGAAGAGTCTCATACTAGGATGAAACGAATTTTCAGTGCTTCCAACTTTCTAATGGTTGTCTAACTTCGATCGGTTCGTGATTTAAAATTTTTTAAACAATCTTCACAATCTCATACTGACAATGGAAACTAGTGTTTAACAATTGAAAAAGTTGATATCGGATACCGAAGCATTGTAAACCATACACAGTCACGTATCGAATATATATACATATATTCTTTAATTGTGTCTAAAACTTCTGTTGAGGAGTGTGTATCATTCAATTTTCTAAACAATTTGTGAAAAATCGGAAATAGGTTGTATAATTTAATGGTTCGTTTACAATTGATTGATTACTGGATAGTAACCAATGTCATGTGTATCAGGTCTTTCTTAGTGCAGATCGAATTCTCTCAATTAAGTTGCAATGTACCAACTAATCTAAGTGATTCGGCATTGTGTACATTAGGTAAATATATCTCACTCTTATAGAAGTGATATATATATACTGATTCATTTTTATCTAATCCCACCTATATCGATTTAAACAGTTGACAAGTATCATTAGCCTTCACATCCACACACATTCTCCCAATGTGTACTTTATAGTTTTGAGTACATTAATCTTATACTTGATAAATCCACTAGTATTAACTCAATGAATTTCACTCATGCATACACATGCATTCTGACTATAAAAATTTAGTCAATGTGATACAGGATTTTATATCTTTAAAAAGACAAAAAAAAAATCATCAAAACGTACTGAATGAAATATTTCCACTTCCTTTGTCTATTATACGCCTAAAAGAGAGAAGAAAAAGATTATTTGGCGAGACTATAATTTATGGACGAACTAATCAGATATAAGATAAAAGGTCTTGGGTTTTGGCACGAAATTCATTCATCCATTTGGCTAAAGAGTGTTTTTGGCATTTTAGCTTATGTCAGTTCGTGATGAAATTCTTAAATCTAATTCCTAACCCTTAACCATCAACAGTAAATCTTAATTCTAGTCCCTCACCATGGTTTATAACCCTCATTTGGTCCTAGTTAGTATGTGGACATCATCAAGGTCACTTCAGAGTCGCCCGAAGGTCGTCCATAAATTATAGTCTCACCGTTATTCAATTACATTGTGTTTGTAGAAACTTGTTAACATCACATAGATGTATTATTCATTAGCTGGAAGTCACTGTTAAAAAGAACATGAAACACAATATGGTTAATCTGTTTCTAAGTCTAAAGTTTTTAATATTGATCAGTGCTGGTGTTTTCTCTAGAACTGAATCATGGGGCATTTAGGTCTTGCAGTCGGTGATCATTTCTAACTTGTTTTATCCGTTGTCTATGAGTCGTGATTTTCTGTACAAACTTCAAAAAGTGAATTATTACAATTTGTTTACTATCACTAATTAACGTCTTGAATTTAGTTTTTTCTTATAAGGAAGTAAGCGATATGCTGTTGAAGAGTTTCTGATGACTAAAATATGTAAACACAATTCAATCATTCATTAAAATGATCGTACTGATAATAGTCTAGCTTTATACATGAAACGATATGCGAATGTCTTATTTGTCAAATTTTACAATCACAAAACCAAATAGCTGACAACTCATTCAATCGCATTCAACTTGGAACCTGGCATATGTTTTCATCAGTTTAAGTTGCCACACAATGCATTAGCACAGAGAAATGCTAGAACAGTATTACTCGTAACAGTATTAATGATCGTCAAAAAGAGTAGACATAGACAACATGAATCGTGAAAAGAATGTGCATTCACAGATTAAAGATATTTTTTGATCATTTTGAAATCGAAGATTTAAGGTAATCGTCCTGGATCAGTACATAACAGTTTTGTTCCGTGTCACTCGAAGTCTCTAACTATTGGTTATGATAATCGGACGAATTTCAATAAGATCATCTACACTTAACTACATGACTCAGTAAATATCTTCATGGATTGATACTGTCTTGGTTTGGTCACCTATAACTTCGATCCAACCTACGTGTGTAATAAATCTTCCGACCACCGCTTACCTCAACACACAATATGTACTTATTTAATGAAGATTTACTAATTCATCGATCGATTTGTCGTAGTTGAAGCGATCAGTGTGTTGATCTACTTCAGTCCCTATGGTTAATGCAGACCAATCCTAGAGCAAGATATTTAGAAGGGGAGAAATATCCTAACTGCTCTTGTATTGTTTCTACTCATGAAGATTAAAAGACTTTTTTTTACCGAATTCTTCACCAGACAGAGCTATATCATCTGCATATCTTCTTTTAGAAGATCAACTCCTAAAATGTCACGTTGAGAAGGTTATCTCCAAAGGAGATGAATAATAAAGAAAATATACCAGGGATTAGAGTAAATTCAAACACAGATTGTGGTAGAGAAATATTTATACATTGACATTTTGTGTCTATATCTCAATTTAATCATTGTTCCACAATCATCAAGTCACTCTGTTTTGATGATCTTGTTTATTTTTTAAAATCTTCGTTTCTCTTTTACATTCCAGTCGACCGTATTGTTCATTTGACCATTTCTCCCATGGGTTGATAAGTTAGATCTTTATATCAATGTATAAATTTTGTTTCCAGATTTCATACTTGTAAAAATTCTCTGATATTCAAAGAGTTACTTCGTTTCTAAGTTTATTTGTAGTAGGGCCAGTCTTATCTCGCAACCGGTTAGTGCGTTCGGCTGTTAACCGAAAGGTTGGTGGTTCGTGCCCACCCGGGAGCGGTTCACACTCACAACACCGGCAACCCCTACCTACATATACAGTAGTCATTTTCCTCATTTAAGTGCTCTATTTCGCCTATCTTATGTGCTTAGAATTTACATTAATTGTATCCGTATCTATGCCCTCTCTCAATTATTATTTGTGTAGATATGTGAATTGTTTGTTGTTTCAATATTCAATTTGAATGGGTGTATGCTTTTGTGTGTATATGTTTATGGGTTTAAATGTTTTTCGTCACCAAATGTATGAAGTACATTCAGTAGTCGTTTTCTTTTGTCAACGTAATAAATGAGATAGCACTTAGTGTTTTGTCGTAGTGAAATGGTCTTCTTTTTATTCATTCGAAACTGGATCTCTTTCTGTACGTCGTTGTCATAATCTTCATAGTTTTTAGATCATGAACTAATCTTATATAAACTACCATGGAAAATCAAGAAATACTGGACAGTTGTTTGATCCTTTTATGGTACTCTTCACCAATGTACATCCACAAGCTTGCCATAGAGAATCGAACTCAGGACTTATGGTTTTTCACGCGAACACATAATCTCTAGACCTTTGAGTAGGAATTTTATTGTGTACATGTATAGCTTTAATCAACTCACGATATCGGACGACCATTGTCCATTGCTTGTGATGGATAACTGTCTCATACCCGGAATGGTTGAATTTGATTGATCGTGGTTCCAATAATAATCGCAAAGTTGGTCTTCACGTGATCTCTAGTCTGGAAAAAATGTCCTCAAAGTTCTGTGAAGAAGACATCACACTGTCTGATTCCAAAAATATTGATTGTATGAGAGAATTATCAGTGTTATGTAATATAGTGTATTGACTGAAGTTGGAGTATTTAATAATTGTGTTCTAATCTAATTGTATAAAGAGTTTAGAGAAATAAAATGCATACTCAAACAATGTCGAATTAGATAGATTATATTACATCTTAATAGTTCGGGTTTAGTACAGACCTTCAATGTTTATGGAATCGGCAGCGACTGAGCTATTACTCTGATATGTTTGGTTCTGTTGCGTAGATCGATAACAGTAAGAAACGCACAGCACTTCAACATTTGTACGCTAACACAGAGAGACGACGAACTGTAGGAAAACTTGATATTTGAAGTTGAAGAAGCAGAACATAGATGAATGGTACAACTCCATATATACACTAACGAAACATGACCTTGAATCAAACAGAAATTTAGCTGAACTTATAGCAATAATAATCAATCAGGTAAAAATAATGGCTGTGTGGAGGATCGTTTCTAGTAAGGTTCCAGGATTGTTAACAAAATTTTAGTGATATTATGTTCACCTTAACATATTAATAGTAACCATATCATTAATCCTGGTGCTATTTGAATGATGAAGTATTCGATATGTGTGTAACTATCGAGGATGAGTTGCTTGAAAGAATTCAAATCAACCTTATGTTTTGTTGATTGTCAAAAAATTTATAACATTCATTAGCCTTTCTGTTCTTAACAATTAATTATAAATGATATCAGATATCCATCACTTTATCTACATGAGTAATTCAATTACATAATTTTATAATCAGAGAGGGGTTCTGTGGAGATTGTAGTAATTTGAATTCATGAGTTAATTGAAGCTAGACCACCATGGGAAACCTGGAAGCACTGGACGGCCGTTTCGTCCTACTATGGGACTCCTCCTTGGCAGTGTGCATCTACGATCCCGCCTCTCAAGATTCGAACTCAGGACCTATCAGTCTCTCACGCGACCGCTCAACCATTAGACCACATGTGCTTCCAAATTTTCCATGGTGGTCTAGCTACAATTGACTCGTCTCAACTATTAAAATTACTATAATATCCACAAAACCACCCTTCTCATATTAATGATCATATGCTCACTGTTGACTGTCTCCAAGAGTTATTTCCTGGAGTTCTAGTGAGAAGCAGTGACTAGTGGAGTTCAACCGGGTCTGTTGTGAGATAGTAACTCATTGAAAACAATAGTGGATGTGTCGCTCAATTTCGTGGATTGGTTGAAGTTAGACATTAACACCGTTGGATGTCGACCGGTTCAGTGGTCTAGTGGTTAAGCGGTCGCGTGCGAAACTGATAGGTCCTGGGTTCGAATCACGCGAGGCGAGATCGTAGATGCTCACTGCCAAGGAGGAGTTCCACAGTAGGACAAAACGGCTATCCAGTGCTTCCAGGTTTTCCATGGTAGTCGAGCTTCAATTGACTCATGATCTCATCCAATAAATTTACTGTAATATCCACGAAATCACTTCTGATATACAGTTTAGTTTCTTAACAGTAATGCAATAAGAATATACTTATAATATTGATCCATATGTAGTTCCCAGAAGTTACCCATAATTTAATCTTCATTAGGATATAACACTTTTATATCTAACCGAATCTAAATAACTTAAAAATAACTAATTAATTTAGTCTTAGATACATCTATTTTTTCTATTACTACTACTACTACTACTACTACTACTACAGAAAATAAATTATAACCTAAATAGATCATTGATCACATGTCTGTAACTAGAACATTGATAATGTTTCAAGTGTTTCAATTTCTCACATGGAAATCATCAATTTCCTTAAAATTATTGAAGATTAGTTAATATGTGACAAGTAACAAATAGAATATGAAACTTAAGTCGGATATATTGTTACTATTCAATTCACTTTCAATTGATTAACTTCTCATTCTAATTCTTATTAGTTTCATTCATCCAACTCAATAATGGTGATGATGATGATGATGAATATCTTCAAGTTGATTTTCAAGATAATTTAATTTGAAAGGATTATTCAATATGCTACTAATAAACTAAACTATGTAACATTTATCATTTGTTACATTTTATTCTATTTTATTTTATAGTTTTTTTCTTGCCTAACAACTAATGGAGTAAAACTTCTTATCCTTTTTTGTTGTTGTTTCAAGTGACTGTTCATTATTCCTTATTAAGGATGAGAATGTTTGAATAAGACTCAAACAAACAAACAACAGACTGAACTACATTGTATGAGTGTGTGTGTGTGTGTATTTGTTTGTCAATTGCATGTATTTAAAAGACTCAATAAATAATTGTCACTTATTTAGAGCAAAATTACAATGAAGATTGAAAATGAAATTTGTTTGTTGATGCAATACAATCTACAGGAAATCCTATTGATTTTTTTCAAGTATTTTCTTTTCTTTTAGTAATTGGCATTCATGTTAACAAAATGTACGTGTAATCTCAAGGAAACTATGATTGTCACCCTGTGAATATCAAATCTATATTACAGTTAAAAAGAGATCAGATTATCTAGTCTTGTTGTTATTACATGTTAGTTTCATTGGTTGAAAGTATGAGTCAATTGAATCTAGACCACCATGGAAAACCTAGAAGCACTGGACGACCGTTTCGTCCTAGTATGGGACTCCTCAGCAGTGCGCAACCACAATCCCGCCCCCGCGAGATTCGAACCCAGGACTTATCAGTCTTGCACCAGTCTAGATTCAATTGACTCATGATTTCAACCAATGAAATTTCTAAAAATCTCCACAAAACCCATTTTGATAATATTACATGTTAGTAACATGAAGGATAACCTTGATGACATTTTTCAAATTCATATTTCCTCTGTTGTCTCACTGATTGTCATAGTTTAAAGTTCGTTAGCTTTGTAATATACTTCAAGATCGTTGGCCGTTACTATAAAAATAGATTTATTTAATTGTTAATTAGACTTCTGTACAGAACATAAAAGCATCATCTCTGTTAGTGTTGTTCTGTGACAGATGTTCGGTCTATTCAAGTCCCTATTCTTTGTATCGTATTAGAATCTTCGGATGTTTGTAAATAGAACTAACCATAGACTAACTGCAGACTCCAATCCCTTAATCATTCTTGTTAAAATCGATTTATCACACATTGTCATAATTAGTGATCTATTCAGATCCAAAAATTCTGTCTTGTAACATTCTAATATTCTAGTCGTTCACGGGAGTATATTATTTATTTGTTGATTACGATTATGTTACCTCTTGCAGAGAAGTTCAGCAGACCAGATTGGTGAACCGAATGTTCAAATACAATGTATACATATAATGTCTTCTATATACCTCTATTTTTAATTTGTTTCAAACAATTCATTTAAAATTAGTATCGGGATTTGTGGAGATTGTGGTGTTTTCAAGGTTGAATTAACGAGGCGATCTAAACTAAACCACTACTCACAACCTCGAAGCACTGAGGTGGTTCACCGTTCGCACGCGAGACCGAAGGTTCTGGGTTCGAGTCCCGCATGTGTGATCGTGAGTCCACACTGCTACAGAGTACCATACTAGGCTGGGATGGCCGTCCAATGCTTCCAGATTTTCAGTGGTGGTCTAGATTATATCGACTTGTGAATGTTAACTTTGAAAATATTCATTTAAAATTTTGACGAATCCTTATCTAGATTAATTTATTTCTGATTTATATTTTCCTCTGTTTTCTCATTAATGTAGTTCTCGTCGACAAATACGTGAAGCTTTACGAAGTAATGATTTAATCAAGAATTTAGATGCAGTTCAATTACAAGAGGTTGTCTCCTGTATGCATGAACAAACAGTGCCAGCTAACTGTTATATTATACGTGAAGGCGATGATGGTGGACATTTGTATGTCGGTGAAGGTACGTATATTTATTATCCTATTAAAAGAGGTTTTGGTCTATGACTTATTTATTTATTTTAAACTTGTTTTCTATAGACATACTCATCTTAAAAGGTATCACTTTTTCTTCGATTCACCCGGTTCTTGATTATTTAACTCTGGCAAATAACAATTTACCCACCAGTCCTATTTTTCCCATACTTTAAAAGCTGACTGTGAACAGAATTACTCAATATGTTATCGCTTAGACTATACATTCAGAGGGATTGATTCATTTTACTCAAACTGTAACAACCGACTGTTGTGTATTTTTAGCTTGATATAAATTCAAACGACGAAAGGATAAGTTTGATCATTCCTCAGTAGTTGTAGTGAAAAGATGTTTAATACTGTTGAATCCCATTTTCATTTCTGATCCAATCCAATAAGGATATGATGAGTCAAGGATTAATTGTCAATTTTAGGCTTATGCAAATGTCTATGTTAGTTTAACTGCTATGTTGTAGTCGATTTCATAGTCTGGACTCAGTGGGCATCATCCTTGAATGTTCAATAAAATCTCCCAGCTTGATTAGGCAAACGAGTTACCTACTCTGATAATAGGATTATCCTTCCTCATTTACTAGACAGTAAACACATTATAAAGTTGTTGGAAGCCTTTTCAGTGTTTAGTCATGTCTGAAAGGATTTACTAAAAGGACCATAAATGCACTTCTATCAATTACACAAAGTCATTCACTCAGCTACAATGTAGGACCAGACACATATGTGCATCGGTCCAAGTTCCCATTCCTCATTAGCACAACAAGATCAACACTAAATTCATAGTAGTTAATTCAGTGGTGATAATATATGAGAGAAAAATTACATGTAAGGATATAATAAAGGAAGAAAGAATTAGAAAGAAAGGTATGAAGTAATTGTAATCTTATGATTTAAGGGAAGACAAATAGTGTATACACAGACTCCATTGTAATCGATTCTCAGCCATGTCACGCAAAGTATCCAACTTGATGAGGTTGTGAATCTTCATCGACTGAGATGGTTGGGCCACGTGTTGCGTATGTCTGAACACCGATTACCACGACGCTCAATGCTCACTAGTGTTGGGAAGGGTTGGAAGAAATTTAGGGGCGGCCAAACCAAAACGTGGTACCAATCCACAAAGTCACTAACTTCTAGTTTGATCTACGTTGTTAGATGCAGACTACTTGGTTGTGGTCCGTGTGACTATCGTATCCAATGGTTGGAGACTCTTGGTGACATGGCTCAGAATCGATCACAATGGCGTCTGAGTATACACTATTTGTCTTCCTTTAAACTATGAGATTAAAATCGCTTCACATCTTTCTTTCTACGAAATAATTCTTTCTTCCTGTACTATATCCTTATATGCAATCTTTCTTTTACATATTACTACCACTGAATTAACTACTTCTATGAATTTAGTGTTGATCTTGTTGTGTTAATGAGGCATGGCAACTTGGACCAATGCACATATGTGTCTGGTCCTACGTTGTAGCTGAATGACTGACTGGCTAGTGACTTCAAGCACTGATGCCACGTTTTGGTTTGGCCGCTCCTAACTTTCTTCCAATAATACCCAATACTAGTCAGCGTTGCGCGTTGTGGTAATCAGAGGATATGATTGAATCAGCATAATGAAACTATACCTCTATGTCCAAAAGTCATTGATTTGTCTCCATCCCTAAAGTATATATTGTAAACGTTTGACCACAACCTTCTTTCATATACATCTCGATATAGCATTTTCCTATGAAACATTCGTAATTACAAATTCATTTTTCTTAATCCAAATAGTGTCATTATTATTATTACAATTATATTGTCACAAATAATCATGATATAATAATTCTCATATTTGTGTACTCTATTCATATGATTTTACTCAATTGATTAAAAGTTATCATCACTACTGTTCTATATGACCTTTCAACTTTACTAATAATGGAGTCAGAGTTTGTAAATATTTGAGAAGTAATCCAACATGGACTCAACTGTTTATTTATTTAGCTCATAACTGTGACTAATATATAAACAAAATTATGATATTGTTAACCGTAAACTTTGTTCATACAGTTATTACATTGGTTTCGATAGTCACACTGATCCCAACCAAGTAGTCTGCATCTACGAATATGGCTCAAACTAGAAGTTAGTTACTTCAATGACTGATGTCATGTTTCTAATTGAATGAATCTTTTAACAACAGAAGTTTTATAAGTTTGTGTATTCAATGACGTTATAGTTTAGAAAAATGTGCAGTTTTTCTGAATATATGATTCTCAACATCGTTTTCGTTGACAGATATAGTGATTTATGAGGAAGTTATTCAAGACAACGCAGATGCAAACAAAGTTTACTTCTTTCTTTCTCTCTATCTCCCGAGGTCTTGCATATCAAAGGTGTAATGTATTATCTAACAGTTAGTCGTCGATCATTAGGCCCTAAGGTTCGAACCTAGCTTCACCTACATGTATTTGGGTAATTTGGTGTGTGTGTGTGGGGGGGGGGTTGGTAGGTAATATCATCCCAGTTTTCTTCATATAAACATGCGTACAAATGGTGTTGAGCACAAATGAATCATAGTCATTTATTTTATCGTTCGTGGTTAATTCTTATATTGTTCATTATCGTTTCGTTTATGTAGTTTCATTTTCAGTATTAGAAGAGGGATTATTCAGATTATAGAATTTCGAGGAAGAACTAGACAACTGTTTCATTCTAGTATAGGACTCTTCAATAGTGTTCATCCACGACCCTTCCACAATGAATTGAACCAAACTCAAGATCTCATTTTGTTCTTTTTTCCTCTCTCTCTCTATTTATGATTGTTATAGAGTTAGTGCAGAATTATTATTTTGTACAGGTACGCAAATATATTCATTCATTACTATGAACAACTCCTTGTTGTTTTCATCAATTAGGTAGTCTAATCCATCTATGTTTACGTGTACAAATTACAGACAACAAATAATTGACTACAAATCAAATGATTATTATTTTCCATTTATGTACAAGACAATCATGATAATTGAATCGTCAATAATACTGAAGGGACTAGATAGCATCTGAGCATTACATTTTACTTACCATCTATTGATTGATTCACTATCTACAATAAATATTTCTTCATTCTGTTCATCTTTTTTTTACTAACTCTTCACTCTTACTTACTAGTTAGCGTTTTTTTTATAGCAAGGTGGATGAGTTTGCTGATCCCATGCCCAACTCTCCTCCTTTACTCAGACTTAGAATCGACAATAATCTTAGAACAGCTATAGATAGAGTTAAATTTTCATTCTACTAAATTAAATCAGTCCTTTTGGAAACAAATAAGTAAATAAAAAGAAACACTAACTAATTTTGATTAAACAATTTACGTCATTTGTAATAATGAATTATTCTCTAAATGATGTTATACAATTCAATTTTCATAGAATATGATCAAAGTACTATTCCAGTTTAACTTGAAAACTGTTGAATAATGCATATTGGTCATAGTACAACATTATTAAAGTAATTTAAGATAAAATACAGACAGATAATAGATAGATACACTCACTCACTCACTCACTCACTCACTCACTCACTCACTCACTCACTCACTCACTCACTCACTCACTCACTCACTCACTCACTCACTCACTCACTCACTCACTCACTCACTCACTCACTCACACACATTGGTTTATCAGTTACATCATTCCTTCAATTTTTCAGGTTAATTTATTTTGTAGAGAAAAAAATTATTGAAAGGGTTCAATTAGAGAATGAAGATGAGAGGGGGAGAAAGAGAGAGAGGGAAACTCTGGTTTTCTAGTAGTTGTATCACTTGTATTCACAAGTCTATTTTAATAGACGTCACGTTTTTCTCAATTCGTTTTCTTTTTAATGTGAATTTTATTGAATTGATCTTTGGATCATGTGTTTGTATAGTGATCAGAATATTCAAGAGTTGTTGTTGTGGTTGTTGTTGTTGTTTTAATTAAACTAATTGACATACAGGATTCAAAGTTGCCTTTCTAAAAACTTCAATTTATATTGTGTTTCAAATTCTTTTCATAATTAGTATTCGACTTAAATATGCTAATTTTGATTTAGATGATACAGAGTACATTGATTTAAACGATTCCTATATGTCTTTTCTTAAAAAAGATGATGAAATACACTGAGAGTGATTTTCTCTGTTCTCAGTTTAGTAGTCTAGAGATTCAGCTTTCGCATATGAGGTTAAAGATCCTGGGTTCGATTCTCTATAGAGGGTCGTGGATGCAAAGTGCTTGGAAATCCTATACTAGGACGAGACGACCGTTCAGTACTTCTAGGTTTTCACTCTTGATCATAGTTTCAACGAAAACATAACACTTTTATATTTTTTTGTGTTTTACAGTCCATCGATTCAGTATCCTAAAAATTGACTAGTGGGATGAATTTCACAAAAGAAATCGTTCAATCATACATCAGTAGTTGACAATATTGGGAACAGATAAATGAACTGATGTATTAGAATTTTGAGTATTTTGTTGTTGACTTTCATGAGCCAATTAGTAGAAAATATGATGGTTCTATTCATAGAAAGCTTACATTGGATGTCCAGGATCTCAGTTCTCAGTGTTACTGTCCAGTCCAGTACAAACGAGGATTAATAAAAGAGATTTATCAATATGATGAATTGTATTTGCACTAACGATACTATTGACGTAGATGCTAACTTTTAAGCGAAACATTTCTGAGAAATATGTGTTCATTAAAGTTCATGAACTGATAGACCACAATATAATGAGGCCTACTAAACTTTTGGCATCCAAAAAATATGTCTTTATCACCTTATTATTCAGAGATGATTCAGGTATATGTTCAATTTGAAACGACAACGCAAATCAACGAACACTAAGATTTTTGTGCATAGTCCAGCTCATCTTTAATCAAATGTTGTGGTCTATGCTTCATCAAAAACTCAAACAACATGTAAATAACTGTATCACTTCCCACTGTGTTTATCAGTCTTCCATATATGCATGGTTGACTATTTATAGGAGAAAGCAATCGTGGTTTGTATTCAAGAGTTTGTCAAAGCGTTCCCAAATGTCTACGACAAACGGCTAAATATTTGGCTGAGAGAGATCAGATTTGACATCAAATCAATCTTTGAGGTATTGTGCCCAGAGGTGAACTGTAAGGTTTATCGAAGTCTTAGCCATACGAAGATCCAAACCTTTCTATGTTTTCACAAAGAGTTTGCTCTAACCTTGAACCTACCTTGGTCATATCGATCTATTAGTTTTTATAGTATTCTTCACATTGTTTTCTCTAATGCAATACCTTTGTTTTCATTTATCTTCCAATTTGTCTAGTTTGACCTTTTATTTTCTATGCGTAAAATGTTTTAACAAATAGATATTTTCAGAAGGGGTTTTGTGGAGATTTTATTAGTTTTAATAGTTGAAATCATGATTCAATTGAGCTAGACCACCATGGAAAACCTGAAAGCACTGGACGGTGGGGAGCGGGATTGTGGATGTGCATTGTCAAGGAGGAGTCCCATACCAGGACGAAATGGCTATCCAGTGCTTTCAGGTTTTCCGTGGTGGTCTAGCTTCAATTGACTCATGATCTCAACTATTGAAATAGATATTTAGTCAAATTTTTATCCTAAATGTGTTGTATTATTATATATGTCACATAGTTCTGATAAACTTCGTCTTCCCATCGTATTGTCTACATTTATCGAAGGTATTCATTGTTTGAAACGTACAAAAATGTAACATAGTTTTCCGTGGTTATTGATACGTACGACCATTTCTGTGACATTATCAATATCCCTGATATTACGTTACCATCTTCCATTACCTTAGTTAGATATCATCCTTAATCCCTACATTTTCTAATCCCACTGATCATTGCTTCTGACTAGAACTCTTGAAATTCCCTTTCGAAGCTAGTCACTAGTGAGAACAAGATTATCAGTGTTGACGTTGTGGAGATGACTGAATTTTATTAATATCACGAACTGGTATAAGTTAGACCAGGAAGCATCGGTTGCCCGTATCGTCCTAGTAGCAAACTACTCAGGAGTGAGCATTCATAACCCCGCCCCAGTAGATCGGGCTCAGAATCTTCAATCTAAACTGGCGAGGCGGGACCCAATGATATACAGGTCTAAGTCCAATCAATCTGCGGTACTGTCATCTATTGTTTTCTTCGGGTAACTGTCTCCAATTCGATACGTTCGGAATTCAGTGATCATAGCTTATACTGTTAATTGTCATTGTTTTTTTATTACAGCAATTTATAGTTTGTTTGTCTTATGTATGTAATCACACTGTTAATGGCTACTTCGATGATATTCTCGTAAAATTAGTCGAATTGTTGCACATCTTTAAGATTTGGCTTGTTCAATATTCATTACTTTATGTTTCGATGAAAACATACTTCCTAGACTTCTCTTATAGTTCAAAATAATCTAATGAAATTATCTTATTCAGTATTAATATCAATGGGAAATGTGGAATATTCCAACAAAACTTCTCTTTCACACCCATTTAAGTTGAAATTACTAACAATAGATATGTATAAAATGTGTTTTCTAATGGTATCTAACTTTGTTTATTTTCATTTGGTAATATTTCCAATCAATTTTATTTCTATGATATCGATTTTTGATTGCATAATGTCTATTTTGAATAGACAATTTCCATTGTAATCACTTGTGTTCTTTCTTTAAACAAACAAAATCATCATTGTAGTAATGTAGTGAACAAGAACACGAGTGGAGGCAATCGAATGTATTCGAACACGAAATTACAGAACATCTCAATAAAATCTGAGATCCATACAGTAAATAGTTAATTTGCCAAATATCAATCCATCGTATCAAACTTGACTGTTTGTTTTGCAAATACCAGTCTGTCATCTCAGATTTCATTGTTCATACATTTTCATATATCAGTTGCATTCCGTTTCCGTTCTTTCCTTATCGATCTTCTACTGAAATACATTCTATGCCTGACCATCGTTATATACTACTTATGTGGATATAAGTAACCCACATCATAGTACTACTTTCGAATGTTGATTTAAAAAAAAAATTTGCCATCAATTATAAGCATTTTTATCATCATTATATTATGTTTAGAATAAATAATTAGTCAAGAAAGTTTTAATTGACATAATTTTCACAATTAGTTTATCCAATTAATTGACTGAGAAGTGCGATCAAACCACCATAAATTTAACCTTATCATTCATTGATGGAGATTGCTAATGGATGGCCTATGCTCCTCGACATGGGGTAACAGGCGTAAGTAGGTATTCATTGATCAATTAATTTAGTCAGCTGAATTTCAGCATTGAATGATTCTATGCAATTTCTAAATTTTTTTTTAAACAAAAAAGAAAATTATCTGTTTCCTGTTGTTCTTTAAACCTTTCTTCGTTTACCCCACCTCCCCTCTCTCCTTCCCTCCTTCCTTCCCACATTGTCCCCAATCTAATCTTATAGAAACATTTCATTTGTAAACAGTAAAATGATCAATACATTTGTTTGTATGTTTGTTTATTATTTTTTTGTTTTGTCATTTGAACTTCTCCATTTTCTTTTATTGTTTTTCTCCAATTCTAGTTTCTTGGGTTTTTGTTTCCTCTCCATTTGGATTTCTATTGTTTTCTAATTCTTCAAAGTATATTCATTTATTATTCCCATTAGATTTGAAATGTTTCAACGACAAATAATATTGAGTTTCTTCTCTATTATTATTGTTATTTGTAGTAGGATTAATTGAGTACTTATTGATTTCTTTTAAGTGGATTTTACAATATTCCCAGTTAAATTAAGTAGTAATTCTCTATTTATACTTTTCTCTCTTCTTTCCTCTGCATGTTTCATTATTGTGTGTAAACTGTGTTGGAATTAGATATTGTACAGTATTGGTTACTAGCTTAGATTAATATAGCGGTTAAGCGTTTGTACACGAGATCTATGGCTCTGGGTTCAATCCTCTGTGTGGATGTTCATATGCACTGCTAATAAGTTCTACACTAGGACGGAATTGCTGTCCAGTGCTTCTTGGTTTTCAGTGATAGTCTAATTAAAATGAATTTGAGGTTTAAAATGTGAAAATACCTTGAAGTGCATCAAAAAATGTTTTCATACAATTAGAAATTATGTGGCTTGTTGATGAAGTTATTCCCTCTCATTTGCGTATTATCTAGATAAATTGTAGACTTATATTAATTTGGGCAAATATCCTAAAGTTGAATGGATTCATTTTATCTATTTAATTATCCAATTAAATAAACGAGTTGTGGTGATGAAAACTTTATTTTACAAATTCGAGTTATAACAGCATTCCTAACTCCAGTCTGTTTTAATGAATATAACAATCACTATGTTACCATAAAAATTTCTTACTGTATAAGTCATTGTAAGAAAGCTATGGGTGGGCAAACAATGATATGGCATCAGTTCATGAAGATCATGGTTATTGAACTGAACGGTGTAGGTAGATGCAGGTTATTTGATTGGGGTCTGTGTAATTATTGCAATCGATTGTTAAAGACTTTCAGTGATATTGTTCGAAATCGTTCTTAATGGCACAGATGCATTTACTCTCAATCTTCTCTCAGATTTTACGTTTCTAAATTTTTCATAAATGACTTTTTATTCCACTAATTTATATTTTCTTAATTAGTATCATCGATGCCTAATATTTTCTATTATCAGTTATGCTGTTGTTATCTGTACTACTCTTTGATTTGTTTTGGAGATTTCATTCCTCGGTACTATCGGATCGTGGCAACTTGAATTGATCTACATATATGCCAGATTCTACATTACTTACCTGTTGCGTCAGAAAATAAACGTTGCTTGTGGTTGTATAGGGCCCTGTGTGACCGGAATGACAAAAGCGATTGTGTGGTTTCTCCCCCGCTCTCTTGTTCGTTTATCGATTAGTGCGCCCATATTGGTAGTTGGGTCGGTGACCTTCCAGGTACTCACTGACACATCGATCAATGAATAACAAGCAAGAATTTCGCTCTTATTGGTCCTCAGGCTCCCAGTGGCCAGCCAAAACGTACGATAAAAAGCAAATACTATAACGTAACTGAAATGCCTGAAAACACAACAAAACAAGAAATGACTATGTGTAAATAACTTGTTCATCATAAGTGATACAAAACCAGTATATAGGGGTAATGACTATCAATGACAAATCTGGAACACGAAAATATATGACAATGATTTATAGATCAAATAAAAGATTACAAATAGGAGAACATAAAAATACGACTGTCAAAGTATTTATTAATTATACAGGAAAATTACAAATAATAATCCTTTGTATAATAACTTCAAAAGTTATACTTCCGTACTACTCATCCCATGATATCTGTATCAGTGACTGAGATTACCAGACATCTTTCATGCTTGTCGAACTTATTTTTTTATTTTTAAATTTCTACAGAGGGTGAATTTGAAGTTTCAAAAGGTGGTAAACGTCTGTATATTATGGGAGCTGGTCGTTGTTTTGGTGAATTAGCTTTATTATACAATTGTAAACGTACAGCATCTGTAAAGGGTAAGTTGAATTTCTATTGGATTCTGATTTGTTTAGTATTGGTCTTTTTCTTTACTTGTTAGTAAATTCGTTTTGCTAGTCAGACTGTGCCCTGTTTGTTATGTTATGAAATAAATTATTTCTGGTGGTCACACAATACAACACTTGACTTTTGAACTCCACTTCACCTATTTCCACTGTTTTAGCATTTGGATTAATATCTACAACAGCGAAATCCTACCCAGACCTCTCCATGATGCCGTGAGAGATCTTGAAGGTTGTGCCTCATAAACCAACTTGGGTGGTCGATGGAGAGAGCGGTCTGATCAAGCACTCGATTGTAAAATAAGATCATACCAAGTTTATTTATCTCACGTGGCTGACAAACTCAGGGTGGAGTATCCGTGCCTATGCATGCACTGAGACCCATAGGTCAATTTGGTGTTTTTTTAGGTATTTATATTGTATATATTTGCCCAAACAGAAAAACCGTTACGGGGACCTCATTTATGCTTACATGTATGTTGGGAGTACACGGGTCCCAGACCAATCTATTTCATGTATATAATGTTATTGTATAACTGGGATTTCATACTAAATGGCATCTATGCTTGTAAGAAGTGCGCACAACGACTCTATTTCACGGACAGTGGCCTCCGTCTGCCTTCTCAAGCAATTTAGCAAATACCATTAATGGGGGTAGAGACCATTTCACCCTCCTGAAGTGGCACATATGCCTGTGTTTATACTATGTAATGCATAAGTCATGTTGTTTGGTGTATTTCACACGTGAATGCAATACATAATTGTTACAAAGATAGGCTTCTGTCCATCCTATTAAACATAGAATCAAAGTCCTAGAAGTTGTCTTTAAGAGTTTCCTGAATGGTTCCCCGCTTAAAACCTATCCTGTCAAAGAAGTGTGCCCGTGACACAATATATAAACCTTCGGTACGACTATCATTTTGACTTCTTTCTTATTGATCTGGTTAGTTTGTGTCATCGTTTATTGATATGTTCCGAAGAATTTAGGTCAATACGCGTCACTACCAGATCTTACATTGACCATCATTGACTGACTGATAAGTGACTAGTTCTATGAACAATTTCTGTTTCAGGTGTATGTTCAACTTTTTTTTCATAAATTAGAGTTAATTAATGTAACCCCGATGTAAATGAATTAAACAATTGTTGAACATAACACATAATGTATCAAAAAAAAAATGCAAATACATTTCCTTAAATGACCTATTCCCCTATTTAACTGATGAGATAGCATGACATACATCATGAATTTGTTAAACTGAAAAGTGATATAATTAGTTAGTATCGTTATTTGAGTTGTACAGCGAAACATCCATCTTATGTGCGAGGAGTAAATATCATTCTCATCATTATTATGATTATTTCACAAATTTGTTTCCAATTTTTCTCATTTTATTTATGATATCAACAACGGTTTACATGTTCTTCTCGAGGTTATAATTTGGTGATATGCCTTAGGAATTGATAACAGTAGCACAGATGCATTCACTTTTTATCTTTCTTTAGATCTTGAGTTTTGAAATTATCGTATAATTTTATTATTTTTTTATTCAATAACTTCATTTTATTTCTTCTAGAATCATATTATCTATCCCTGATCCTTTCTACTATCATTGGTACTGTTACTACTTTCACTAGTCTGATATTTGTTTTAATGATTTCATCTTTTTGCGTTGATAAGCTGTGGAGACTTGAACCGATGACACATGTATGTGTCAGTTTCTACGTTGCATATTACTGACTAACTAACTAACTCTTCCTTGAGTATGGATTACGTTGTTGTGAAATTCACTTCGTGTTGAGATCTCATTATCATAGTCAATTATAAACATACACGCACTAAGTAGTAGCTAAACTTTGTCAGACGGATAATAACAATGTTCATTAAGCGTTGTAATGTGTGTCATTCAATCTCATGAGTTAGATAGGTAGTTGGAGTAGGTCACTGCATAAAAAGGTATTTTCATTTTGTTTGGATACATAGCTATCTGTGTTGTTAAACGATTGTGTTATTCACTAAATATCGTATGTAAACAACCCAAGTTTAATTTGGGTGATAAATTCGATTTTCTTTTACCATGAAGCATCTTAACTCAGATTCTTGTTGGCGCTGTAGTTGCTCACCACTGTTAATTATTGTCATACTAGAGCTAAACATCTTTCCAGTGTTCCTAGTAGCTGTTTAGCTAAATGTAATGCGTAATACAAACTCGGAGTTGGATAGTCCTCAAAAATCTTGTACACTAATAATAACAATTTTCTTCTCGTCAGTGATTCATTACGAGCGGAATTCACGAAATTCCAGTGAAATCGCATGACCAGTGAATTTCAACCAGTCAGTCATCTACAACGTAGGACCAGGCACACATATGCATCGGTTCAAGTTGTCGTACGTGAATGCGATGAAACCATAAATTTCTGGGTTCTGACACCCTAACATCGAAGTCATCGGTACACCCTGATGAGAGGTTGGATAATGATCGAATTGAACAGTCTCTATAAGCTTACCCATTTGTTAGTCACGGTGTAAAAAGTAAATACACATGTGAATAATTCATGTAGAACACGATTTAGGTTCAGATTTCTTTTCTGCTCTTTGTTTTCACTATCATTTCCAAACATAGACCACCTGTTCCAGATGTTTTCATGTACATGATGAATGTCATTTTTATTGATAAAAATGTGCAATTCTATCAGTCAAAAGTGATTCCTTCATTCCTCTATGTATGTATCTGTGTATGTGTGTGTGTGACTAGAGTATCATGCATTCATTCAAGTTATTATCCAAAGCGAAATATATTCTGGACATTATGTTATGGATATACTCCAGTTGTTTTCAAGCTGGATCAGAGTGGTGGGTAATTTTGGTAGTAGTAGGCTTTATTCGTAATAACCGTAGTAACAGTAATGATAATAATCTAATTACCACAATTAGGTGTTTTGTTTAATAGTTTCTTCCTGTTGTGTAGTGCACTCAGGTATGTCCATAAGTGTATGTATGTATGATGATAATAATTTATGTTCAGTTATAGTAAAGCTAGACTAGTTAATCAACACTAATGATTCAATGTTTGTTTGAATGTATGTGTGTGTATGTGTTTGACTGCACATACAATGGTAGTGTACTTATGTATGTTTACATTTTACAACACTGATCGTACTTTTAAACTAGTAGGAAATAGGGGAACAATCTGATTGTGGACAATTTGCGAATCATTAACAAATTACACAAAGTGGATTCAATACAAATGTTGTATTGATATCGTAACTAAAAGGCATAAAATTGTGAAAATTGCACACATTTATTAGTGTTGAAAATCACTTAGATACCAAAATATGTGATATTGGATGGGAAATCCCTGAGATTTAAAATGTTTGAAAATGTCGACAACCGATATATTATTATTATACAAAAAGAAATGAGTGGTCTAACAGTTTCATCCGATCAAATCTTATTGAGATCTAATTTAGAAACGTATTTGTCCTCAACATTTTTTTTATTATCACTAGTATAACGGAACTTTTTGGAGATTGTAGAAATCACAAACTGATCTTGGGTAGACCACCAGTGGAAATACTAGACGGCCTGTTATAAGTGTTCTCTATCATTTTTGTCTGCGAATATGCTTAATTGGCTCGGGGTTCGTACTGAAAACTCTAGATCGGACGATGAGTAGAGAGGATACAAAGACTACTGATGTGGATTTATTTGACCCCACAAATAAATCAAAATGGATGTATCCATATGCTACTTTATATATGATTTTTATACCGTAACATTAACTATCAAATTTTTGTAAATTGAACTGAGTAGTGTTTAATACCAGTTCGTCCCAAAAAAATTACTGCATGGACACATATGCGATACCTAATGATTGTTTTTCGCATTAAATTGATTTTGCTCTTTCGGTCCTATCATATCAATGGAATTCCTCAACAGTTCTCATTCACAACTCCATCACTGAGAATCAAACTCAGAACCTTTGTTCTTATATACGAACGCTTGACCTCTAGACCTCTGTGACACCATTCAATGGTGTACATGTCTAACCTATTATTATCACTGTTATCATTATTATTTTCAGTATGGGGGTTGTGAAGATTGTTGAATTTCATTGAAATCATGAACCGATCAGTGTTAGATCACTACTGGGAACCTGAAAGCACTGGAGGCAGTTTCGTCTTAGTATGGGACTCTTCGGCGGTAGAGTTCAACCGTGTTTAACGTGAGGCAGTGATCCACCGAAGATAATGAAAGATGGTCGCACAGTATCGCGGACTGGTTGAAATTAGACATAAGCACTTTTGTGTGTCGGTTCAGTGGACTAGAGAACAAGGGTTCGCGTGAGACCTACGGCCCTGTGTTCAAGTTCCGCGCGCGGGTCGTGGATGTTGACGTGTCCCGTATCAGGACGAAATAGCCCTTCAGTACTTCCAGGTTCTCAGTTATGACCTAACATTAATCAGTTCATTATTTCAATGAAATTATTGTTACTTTATATCTGCAGGACTTAAATTAAATAGACCGAATTATTTTAATTGTGTCAATGTGATTGGTAAAATTTTCAGTAACTAATTTTAATCACCAAACCAATGGTGCAAATGGGCTCCAGTATCCTGCGGGAACAAATGGCGTATGAACCAATCGTTGATCACCGGCTACTATGGGACTGAATCTCTTAACGTTGTTCCAGTGCCTTGTGGATTAAACCTGCATGTTAAAAGTTCTCGGTGTGGCCCCCTAATAAAACCACCTGCTTCGGTCTGGACACCCGAGCAGTATTACAGCCCAAACACAAATATGATGAAATATCGATATTTACGGAAAACACTTGTCTTGCTTCGATTAACAATCAAACGATCCACATTATTATTATTACTATTTTTATTGTTATTATTATTATTACTTACTACATCATTTACTCACTCTCTTTTATACCCACTTTATGTATCCTTATTTTTCGACTTATACAGCA